CTTATACACAGGGATCATGACTCATGCAATTAGAAATAACAGCTTTATGGGGACATACAAAAATAATACATTGAAACTAGAGCAAGTTTTATGACAAAAAGGAGAAGCATCTTACAGACAGTGGTGCAGCTAGGTTATCTTCATCTTTCTGGTGAGGAGGACTCATAGAATGTGATCTTAATGCTGGCTTCTCACTGTACTTGAATCTTTCCCTGTTATTAACAAAAAGAGTAAGCAGAAAGAAGAATTAATTTTCAACAACTTGTGGTACACAAAAGATGTTAATCGTAAAATAAAATCTTTTCAAACATACAAGAGAAAATAATTGTCAAAATGTAAGGATCAAAAGTAGTAGAACATTAAAAAAAGAGAATTTTTTTTAAAGGCAAACAAAAGCTTTAAGCATTCCATTAAAAAAACAACCCTCAAAAAACCCACACCAACAGAACCACCAGAAGTATTGTGTACTTCACAGCATACTAAAAGGTATTCTTTGCACTGCTGTTACTACATGACCCAACATCTCCTAACAGATTTTAGAATAAATTCATGTTAACTGAACAGGCTGATCTAAGATGACATATTTGAAACAAAATTGCTAAGTATATGGGACAGCATGGGATCAAGTCCAGGAAACTCAGAGAAGACAAAGGAATTAAGGTGATGGTTGGATGCAGCACAGGGGAGAAGACTTTGAAGACCAAAAAGAAGGTTAGATCAAGGTATATCTTCATGTAACATACAAACCTGAAGGCAGTGGCAAGAGCTACACATACAGCTCATTAGAAAAGCAATGACTTGAAAGGGCAGGGTGGAGAGTAACATGTCACAGAAACAAGTCATAAAGACTTGTACTGGTTGCATTTCATTTCAGCTCTATATTTAGATGAAAATGGTATCTATGGGGGGATGGTAAAGGAAGGCCCACAAGCCAGGACACAAGTGCAGCATGAACAAGTATTCCATCCAGTAGAGGGAAAAAAAAAGATTTGTGGAAAAGCGTTTGTCATAAATAAAGCACTGCCACAAAAGGAAATTAAGAATAGCAGATAGGTGAAAATAAATTTCACTGATACACTATCCATCCAGTAGAGGGGAAAAAAAAAGAGAAGAGATTTGTGGAAAAGCTTTTGTCATAAATAAAGCACTCACACAAAAGGAAATTAAGAATAGCATACAGGTGAAAATAAATTTCACTGATACACTTGGACAACTGACCTTTCTCAACTATAAAACAGTGAAAGAAAAAACCAGCCTGGAACAAAATAAAAAGTAGATGAGTTTATTAGATAAGTTGAAACAGCAATAGCTCCAGAACAGTAGCAAAACACTCCTCAGCATATACTCCAGTGTCAAATCTGCATGTATTAAAAGTCATCAAAAACTCTTGTTAATCCACTCACCTTCCTATAAGCAGCTATAGTGGATTAAAATCAGGTCAGCCCATTAAAATACCTTTCAC